CCATACATTCTTTAAGGTACTGACAAGGAGAATTTAATCAACAATCAGGAGTTTCTTTAGTTTCTTTAAAATCATTTCCTTTATTCAAGTGGCCTTAATGTGTGATTCAGGGGTGATATTATGCGGAGAATATAGATGCTAGTCATTCCTTGCAGGGATTTCTGTAAGGTTTTAAGTAGCCAGAGCTTTTTTAAAGGTAAACGGTTGTGGGTCTTGAAATCCAATATGGCAGACAAAACATCATATCATTCGTACTTTCCTGCCACTGCAGCAAGATTTGTCAAAAAGACAGTCCCCATCAGAACATCTTTAAACTAACCTCTAGTCAGAAGTCTTTTTTACATTTTCAGAAAAGATAGGCAGTGCAAATTTATATTTTTATTGAACCCAAGTTTGGACGTTATAAACATCATCTCTGTACGGGCTCTTGAAGCAATGGAAGTAGCCAGCGAAACCTTGCAGAGAAGCTGGCGTACTTCGCTGGCTGCTGGCTCTTATCTACAACCCTGTCCTTGGGGTCAAGGGATTAAATTCAGGCTATTTCTTACTGGTGATACCAGAAACAGTTCACGTGAACCCTTCCACACCCAGGGGTGACCCAAAGGGATGTTCTCCTGAGAACGTTAGTACATTATAATTTCAAAAAGTGAGGAGACACAAGGAAAGATGTCAACAAAGGGATGGTGTTCCAATTAACAACAATTTCTCTGAGTTATAATTATACAAATTGCATTGTGGACAGTGCGCAAAACTGAGTTTGAGATCTTTGAGTTAAAAATTGTAGAGATGCTTAACCGTTTCACCCCCAGAAGTGATTAACATGTAACTTCTCCCATTTAATATCCACATGTTATCCAGCAAACAGTTAATGAGTATGCTCAAACTGATCAGACAAAAGTTGTCATCTTGATCTAATACCAAGTTCTCATACTAATATACAAGTAAATGTGTAGGAGCTGGAGAGGAGAATTAACAATCAGATCTTAGGGGTTAAAAGGTTAAAGTACAATGTAGGTAATGCTATTATGGATGAGGCAAAGCATACAGACTCAAATGCATTGTCATGTTTTGAAATTTACACAAGTATTAGCTGTAACAAAAGTTTTATAATAATGTTCCCTAAAGGGTCTCACGCAAGAGAAGGCTAATGAAATCTTCGAGCGGGATGGACCTAATGCTCTGACTCCACCACCAACGACTCCTGAATGGGTGAAATTCTGCAAACAGCTGTTCAGTGGCTTTGCCATGCTCTTATGGATTGGTGCCTTTCTTTGTTTCATTACTTTCGCCATCAAAGCATCCACAATGGAAGAACCAGATAAAGATGATGTAAGTAATGAATATTATATGCTTAATGTATGGCCTTGAGAGAAACAGTTTGTTTTGTTTTCCCAAGAGTCCTGACAGTAAGACTTGAGGGAAAACAACACTAATTAGTTTCCCTAGGGACCATACATTAAGTGCTGTGTTATCTATTTAGACCTAACCTTAAACAATCACATGGCAAAAACAGAGAAAAAAAGAGGGCACAACTTCTTTATTCACACATGCATGGGCAACAACTGCGCAATTGTATCCTGGTCGGGATACATTCGAATTAAATCACGGGCATATGACCAAGAATCAATCAATTACAGTGATCATTTTGTTGAGTGAAAGTCTAGTTATATAACAATGGATAGTGACCTGGTGCTGTTTGCAAACTTGTTTGAGTTGAGATGAATGATCTGTGTTTGTGGCTCATGTCCAAGGAATTTTGCTAGTGATGCTTACTTCTTTGCCATGGGATCTAACTTACAAGCAGGTCAGGCTATCACAGATATGGACCAATAGGATCTTTAATTTTAAATACAAATGATACAACATGTAACGTTTTTTAGACTTCAGTTCAGTCCAGTTGTACAAGTTCCTTTTTTTTTTCTTTCAGCTTTACCTTGGAATAGTTCTTGCCACAGTGGTTATCATAACTGGATGTTTCTCCTACTACCAGGTCAG